ATGCACCTAGGGTCTCCTTCCCTAGGTGCCCAGTAAGTACTGCCCTTGGGGACACCTTCCACAAATTACCTTAGGGTCTACTGCCGCAAAGTCTTTTCTGCTCGGTGATTGTCCGCCCTTGGAGTCAGCTGGGGTGTTTCATGCACAACTGTTTGCTTCTGGGTAGGGGGTAGTTTTGTCATTGGTTATGGGTACTGTGCAGCTAGTTTTCACCTCTCATAGCGGCCGGCTCTGTTTCGCCTGGTTAACGTTGTCCTCTTGTGGGGTTTATCTTTTGTTTTTGTTTTCCTGTCTGGTGGAGGTCTGCCCCTTGGTTTTGGTCACACAAATTTATATCTTGGTGCTCCTCCACTAGGCTGCCATGAGTGTACACATCCTGGGGGTTCAGCTTTGGCAGTTTAATTGATAACTTGGGCACCAGTTAGCAGTACCCTGCCTGGGCTTCCCTTAGCGAGATTATGCGACTAAGGGCCCTGTGATATTCCACACGGGGTTCTTTGGTCCGATGGATGCGACCATTGGGTCCCCTCTTGCTTCGTGCGCGTTTGATGGTTGCTCTATCCCCCTTGTCTCAGAGTGACACTCACCGGTTGTGCCTCCATCATGCTGCCTGTTGGGTCAGTGATACCTTTGACCCGGAGTCCTGTGAGTATTGTTCCTTATTTGTACTCTAATACACCAAGTCCACTGATCATGATATTCGGATGCAGGCAGCTTCAGCGTTGCATGCTTGGTATAGGTTGCTGCAGCACGCTAGGTTGGTTGCCACCCCAGATGCTCTGAGACTGCCTCGTTTTGGTTATAGGGACCCGAACTTGGCGGTTTTAGTCGCTTCGACTTTGGTTCAGTCCGCGCTCCCATGTTCTTCCCCTACTGTTGTTCATCCTAGTCCTTTTTTCCCTACTTTTGGCTCCGAAGCGTCTGAGGGGTTTTGGAGTCAGGGCAGGGTTTAGTTGGCATCCGTTTAGTTGGTTTAGTTGGAAAGGGGCATCCCCTGAAACTGCCCGAGTCTTAATGCCAACTAAACCCTGCCCTGACTCCAAAACCCCTCAGACGCTTCGGAGCCAAAAGTAGGGAAAAAAGGACTAGGATTGTCTCAATCGACTTGAGAATGGTCCAGGACGGACCGAAACGTCGTCGTCCCTTCAACTTCTAGTGTGTGGTCTGGTCAACAGGTAAGCTATAATTTGTACATACTATAGTACAAAATATGAGCATGTATTATGTATAAAATGTATTTTGAAATTAATATTTTTGGGAGTGTGGAACGAATTAATTCAATTTACATTATTTCTTTTGGGAAAATTTGTTTCGAGTTACAAATTTTTGAGTTACGACCCGTCTCTGGGAATGGATGAAATTTTTAATGGAGGCACCACTGTATGGTCATTTCCTAAGATGTTGATAGGGGCCTTGTCAGTAATGCTGCTGAAAACATCTTGGTTTTCTTGTTGGTGCCCTGGAACCATATTATGATTTTGTAGATGATTATACAGTAGTACCAATTAGCAAAATTAGCAAGTATGATAAGGCAAGTACAAAGTGCACCTTTACAGAGGTTCAGCTGTTAATACTTCAACAGCTAGAAGTAACAATGAAGGAATGTTGTGTATTCAATGCTGTCCCCTTTTCAGGAAATAGGTACTTGGGTAGCATGCTGGGGAAGGTCGATGTTGGCCAAGGGGATTCTCGATGAGCCAAACAGGCTTCCTGACCCACACAATAGGAAACCATGCTGGAAAATATTAGAATAAGTAATAAATTATTAACACCAACATTGCCTATTTCCTCAGCTATTGTTACACACATGTTGTATTTATTTATGTATTTGGTTACCCCAATACAGTGGCTAATGCAGCTCGTGAAGAGTTCGATGAAGCAGACAGGCGTGTTCGAGACTTGGCCAGGGAATTGCGCACTCTGGAAGAATCCCAAGAAAAGGATTATGGTCCAGAAGATGAATTCAGGGTCTTGGAAGGAAATTGCTTCGAGTACACGGATAGAGAATATACATACCGACTTTGTCCCTTTGATAAGGTTGGTAAATTACTTTGTAAATTTGCTCATTGATAATAAAAATAATTTATTGTGTTGAGAGAAGCAAAAGAAAATGGAAAGGAAATGTGTGCATTGAGATAAAATGTTACATGAGTGACTGTCCGAGAAACAAATCCCATTGTCATATTTGCAATAGCCATTTGCAGACTTGGCTACAGGTGATGCTGGGAGGTAATGGACCCAATAGTGTTAGTTTAAAGTTAAAAAGTTACAAACTAGCTTAGAATAAAAATTTAAATTTTTGAAAATAGTAAGCTTGTTTTATATGGACAAAATAGATTGCAAGATTACATTTCCTGTGACTTCGCCTCTTCCAGCAGGTCAGACCAGTCCGGTACACAACTGGTTCGGTCTTTTCCTCCTCTGCTCTTCATGTCTGGTCTTTTTGACGCAGGTTTATCACCATTTGTATGGTGATCAGGTGACTTCGTTGATGGTGTCTCACCTGAGAGCTTCATCTCGGTGCCCCCTCCCCTTCCGGCCCGTTGGCGTCGTGAGGGGGCTTGGTGGACGGCTGCCGGAGTGTGATGCTCCGTTGGGCAGTCCTCTGTCCTTTTCTGGCCTTGCACTCCTGCTGCTGTCTTCTCCAATTGTGCCGGATCGCTTTTCCTTTTCCTTATGTTTCGTTTTTCTTCCCCCTCTTCTCCTATCTGCTTGTCGTTTCCTGCCGACCTTTTGCTTGTTTTGGATTATTTCTTTGGACTTCTTCTATTTTGACGCCCGGGTGCTTGAGGAGGCATACTCTTGCACCCGTAGAACTGTAGTACCCGACGTCTCGAGCGAGGGGGAACCTTTTATTGTCAATCCCCCTTTCGTCGCTGAACCCGATCTCGACGGACTGACGGTTCTTAAGGTGGCGTTTGTGGGGCGTATACTCACGACGCACCCCTAGGGGGCCCCGGCATGATCGGCGATAGCTTCCTGTTGGGTGTCCTGCCTCTAATTGTGGCTCCATGGTGGGTATGGGGGCACATTCGTGGATGAATTTGTCACTTTTCGTCTCTATGTCGTTGAATGTTTCCGTTGTACCCTCTCAGGCTCGTGGGGTGGGCGACCAAGCCCCCGAGTCGGCCTGTATTGGAAGACCAGGCTCTGTAGCTCCCGCTGCATTGGGCCCCGACCTTGCTCCTCCTTTGACCGTCCTGACTTCTTCCCCCAGCTCCCCTCCCTCCTCTGAGGTTGGGTCGAGCCTCCAGCCCCCGGTGGTGACCACTTCGTCCCCTGGTGTGGCTAAGTCTTTCGTTGTGACTACTGCGCCTTTTGACCCCTCTCTCTCTAGGGGTTCTCAACGCCGTTCGCGCCCCAACCGCACTCGCTCGATTCCTTCCCGTGCTGATGCGTATCAGGCCTTGTTTGGTCCTGCTTCATGGGCCTGGTTGATACCTGGTTGATGGGGTTCTGGGAGTTCTTCTACTCCCCAAGCCCGGCCCGAGGCCAGGCTCGACTTGTGAGAGTTTGGTCCACCAGGCTGTTGCTTGGAGCGGCCCGCAGGCCCACATACCCACCACAGCCCGGTTGGTCCGGCACTCCTTGGAGGAATAAATCTAGTTTCCTCTTGAAAATGTCCACGGTTGTGGACATTTTCAAGAGCCAAATACTTTGATCTCCTTCCTCTTGATTCTGCACCTCCTGACGATTTCTCCCTCCATCGGCATCTTGTAGATTCCGTGGATGCGTGTGTTATTTTCAACCCCACTCGTCTCGGTACACGTGTCGTTGCTGCTCCTTCTCAGGATGCGGCTTCCCGCTTGGCTGCCTTATCTTGCCTTGGCGAGATCCCTGTTCGGGTCTCCAAGAACGTTCAGATGAATTCCAGTGTTGGCACTATTCTCCTCCCACCCCATGTTGCAACCGGTGTTCGGAATCTGCAGGATTGCCACGATGATATTCGGCATATCCTTGATGCCCAAGGCCATTCTGTCCTCCAGGTTGACTCGTTTACTCGTCCCCCTCGTGGTCATCGCCGTCAACCCCTTCGCGTTGTGAAGATCACCTTTGATGGTAGGACCCTTCCATCCTCTTGTCATTCTTGCTGGTGCTAGGTGCTCTGTCCAGGAGTATATTCCTTCTCCTCGACTTTGTAATAAGTGCTGGAGGTTTGGGCATGGTGCCCTCCGCTGCTCTGGGACTGTCTCTCTCTGTCCTTTGTGTGGGAGTGAAGGTCACTCTAAGTCGGAGTGCACTTCTCCCCAAGCTCGCTGCCTCAACTGCGGTGAGGCCCATCCTACGTTCTCCCGTGCCTGTGTCCATTACAAGCTTGAGGCGGCCGTCCTTAACCTGAAGCACCGGGAGCGTTTGTCTTTTCCTGAGGCGAGGCGCCAGGTTCGCCGGCTCCCGCCTTATACTAACATCTCTTATGCTCGCGTGTTGCGCTCTTCCTCTCCTCGTCCTTCCCCCCTTCCTCAGACTCTCAACCGTTTCCGGGCCTTGGACCCTGATACGCCCACTGCCCCCTCCTCTGTTCCTTTGAGTTCTTTCCCGAGGGGTCCCCCTCCTGGTCCTCTGTCTGGGGTTCCCCTTCTTTCAACCCGGTCTGTCATGTCTCCTGTGTCTTCTTCCTCGTCCCCCTCCGATCCTCCTTCCCATCCTCTTCCTCCATCTATCGGCTCTCCCCGCCGCCTGTCGGTGCAGGCGGATGTCCATCGCTCTCCTAACGGCCGTCGTGTGTGCTCTCGTTCGGCTTCTCCTGTTGAGACACTGGAATCCGTTGCCCGGTACGTGGTTGCTGGGACACCTGTCTCTTTAAGTCAGAAGCGTAAGCCTGGCTCCTCTCCTTCCTCTTCCCCGGCGGGTAAGAAGGCTTCGCTTTCTTCCTTAGCTCCTACTTCTGGCTCTGTTGCTCCTTCCCCTCCCGTTTCAGTGGTTGCGCCCCCTGTTCCTGCTATGGAGGTTTCTTTGGCCCCTGCTTCCCTTTCGGTTGCTGCTCTTGCTGGGGTGCGCTCCCCTCTTTCTACTCCCCCTCTTCCTACTGCTGTCCTTGACTGCTCCTCTCCGTTGTCTCCTCCTCTTCCTCCTCCTCCTCCGGACCCCGCCCGCCCACCTCTGATCTGTTCTCCCGTTTCCTTCCCTCAGTCTTTGCTCAGTTTACCCATGCCCCCTAACCCTGACTTTGCTGACCCTGATCCCGACCCTGATATTCTTTAACGTGCTCTGTTGCTCTTTCGCCTTTGTTTCTTCCTTGTTCTCTGTTTTTGTCCTTTCTCTTCTCGTCGTTGTCCATTCTTCAATGGAACGTTCGAGGTTATTACGCCAATTTCCTCAAACCCCAACTTCTGATTTCGCGGTTTTCGCCCCTTTGTGTCTGTCTCCAGGAGCCAATGCTTGGTGCTCGTCCTGGTCGTTTTCGTGGCTATTCCTTTCTCTCCCCCCCCCCCCCCAGCCATTGCTGGGGCTTCTAATTCTTCTGCTCTCTTGATTCGTGCAGATGTTCCCTTTGTTCCTTTACTTTTTCCTTCGCCTCTCCATTGTTCTGCTGCTCGTATCTTTGTGGGGAAATGGTACACAGTTTGTTCCATTTATCTCCCCCCGAGTGTCCCGCTCTCTCTTCCTGATTTGAAACACCTCCTAGACTCCTTGCCGGAGCCTGTGCTCCTGCTGGGTGACTTCAATTGTCGTCATTCTCTTTGGGGTGACGTTCTGACGAATACCCGGGGTCGCCTCCTTGAGCCGTTTCTCCTATCTTCTTCCCTGTCTCTTCTGAATTCTGGTGAGCCCACTCATTTGGACTCTCGGACTCGCACCCTTTCTTGTCTTGATCTTTCTCTCTGCTCTTCTTCTCTTTACTTAGATTTCACGTGGCAGGTTCTTGATGACCTCCATGGAAGTGATCATTTCCCCATCCTTGTTTCCTTTTTCTCTTTTCGCCCTTCCCTCTCTTTCCCTAGGTGGCAGTTTGCTAAGGCAGACTGGACCCTATTTACCCTCAGTGCTGCTCTCTCTGACCTCTCCCTTCTGCCTCTCTCTCGTGCTCTCCTCCTTTTTCATGACACTGTCTTCAACGCTGCCCTCTGCTCTATTCCTCGCTCTTCCTCTCGGGGTCCACGGAAGTGCGTTCCCTGGTGGAATGCGGACTGTGCTCGGGCTGTCCGCTGTAAGCGTGCAGCCTGGAAGAGGCACCGCCGTAGGCAGACGACCGATTCTTTTCTTTTCTTTCGGAAAGCGAGTGCGGTGGCCCGTAGGGCCATCCGTACGGCTAAACGTGAATGTTGGGCATCTTATGTCTCAACAATTACGTCCGAAACCCCTCTGGCCCAGATCTGGAAGCGTATCCGCAAGATAGCGGGTAAGTTCGTTCCCGATGTTTCACCGGTCCTTCACCTCCATGATACTCTTGTGGCGGACCCGTTGCAGGTCGCTTCCGAACTGGGTTCCCACTTTTCTTCTGTTAGCTCTGGTCTTCATCTTCCCCAATCTTTCCTTCTTCGTAAACCTGTCCTTGAGTCTCGTCCTTTAGATTTCTGCACTCATCTTCAGCTTCCCTATAATGATCCCTTCTCTCTCTCTGAACTTCGTTCTGCCCTGGCCCTCTGCGGTTCTACGGCGGCGGGCTCCGATGGTATTCATTATGAGATGCTTCGCCATCTCCCTCCGAGCACGTCTCAGTATTTACTGAGTCTGTATAATCGGATCTGGGAGTCGTCGTCAGTCCCTGAGGACTGGCTCGATGCCGTTGTCCTCCCTGTTCGCAAACCGGGGTCTCTGGGTACTTCCCCAAAGGACTTTCGCCCTATTGCTCTCACAAGTTGTGTCTGCAAACTCTTTGAACGTATGGTTAACGTTCGTCTGATGTGGTTCCTGGAACACCATCACCTCTCCCCTTCTCAATTTGGTTTCCGCAAGTGCCGCAGCACGACAGATGTCCTGGTGAACTTGGAGGTCTATATTCGTACTGCTTTTGCTGCGAAGACCTCCGTTGTTGCCGTCCTTTTTTACCTGGAAAAGGCTTACGACACCATTTGGCGTTATCATATCCTATCTCAACTTCATTCTTTTGGCCTTCGTGGTCATCTCCCTCTCTTTCTCCGCAGCTTCCTCTCTCGTCGTTCCTTTCGGGTGCGCCTTGGTACCGCTCTCTCTCCCACTTTTCAGCAATACGAAGGTGTGCCCCAGGGTAGTGTTTTGAGCACTACTCTTTTTCTGGTTGCCCTCAATGGTCTTCTTTCCTCTCTTCCTTCTGGTGTCTTCTCCGCTCTCTATGTCGATGATCTTACCCTTTGTTGTCAGGGTGATGATTCGCCTCTCCTTCAACGCCGGCTTCAACTTGCAATTGATGCCGTGTCGTCTTGGGCCACTGATCATGGCTTCAAGTTCTCTACTTCTAAGACTTGTGCCATGACATTTACGCAGAAACGGGTTGTTCTTCGTCCCTCTTTGTCACTTTATGGTCATCCCCTTGAATACAAAGATTCCGCGAAGCTTTTGGGGTTATTCCTTGACACTCGTTTGTCTTGGTCTCCCCATATCTCTTACCTCCGTGTTGAGTGCTCTAAGGCCCTTACCCTCCTTCGGGTCTTGTCCCATACTTCTTGGGGGGCAGATAGGCGCACTCTCCTTGCTTTACATTCCTCTCTCGTCCTGTCTAAGCTCGATTATGGTTGCCCTGCTTACTCGTCTGCTTCTCCTTCTACTCTTCGCCGTCTTGATGCTTTGCACCATACTGGGTTGCGCCTCAGTTCTGGTGCCTTTCGTTCGACTCCCGTCCTTAGCTTGTATGTTGACACTGGCTTCCTGTCTCTCCAGGACCGCCGTGATCGCTACTGTCTTCGCTATCTTGCGCGGTCCTTGCAACATCCTTCCTCTCGCCTCTGTCGTGCTTTAACTTTTACCCCTCCTGCGGTTCCTGTTCCTCTTCACCACCTCCCTCTTTCTGTCCGGTTATCTCGCCTGCAGGATTCTCTTTCCGTTCGTATTTCTGATGTTTCTCCTCGTGTTGTTCCTTCTTTGCCCCCGTGGAGGGTCCCTCTTCCGCGGTTTTGTACTTCCTTGCCCCGTATCACTAAAGCTTTTACCCCTCCTACGGTTCTAAAACGCCTTTTCCTCGAGCACTTTTCTTCTCACTCCCGCTCCGTTTCTGTCTTCACCGATGGGTCTAAGTCAGCGGACGGTGTTGGCTACTCTGTTGTTTTTCCTGATCGCACTTATATATGTCGCTTGCCTCCGGAGACTAGCATCTTTACAGCGGAACTTTATGCTATTCTCTATGCTCTTCGTCTCCTACTTTCTCGTTGTCAGTCTTCCTTTGTAGTTGTTGTTGACTCTCGTAGTGCCCTCATGGCTCTCGGGTCCTTTAATCCAGTTCATCCAGTGGTTGTCGAGATCCAGCATTGGCTGTTTCTCGTTCATAGTAAATTTAAGTCGGTTGAGTTTTGTTGGGTTCCCAGCCATATTGGTGTGTCTTTAAATGAGCGTGCGGATGCTGCCGCCAAGGAAGCTGTCCGCTCTTGTCCCATCTCTCGTAAGGGCATTCCGTATTCCGACTTTTACCCGGTTATCCATTCCTCAGTCCTTACCCGTTGGCAGGCTTCTTGGTTGTCTGTTACTGGTAACAAGCTACGTACTCTTAAATGTTGTGTTTCCTCGTGGCAGTCCTCCTTCCACCGTAACCGGCGGTGGGAAACAGCTCTGGCGAGGTTGCGTATTGGCTATACTCGCTTAACTCATGGTCACTTGATGGAGCGCCGCCCTGCTCCTTATTGTCCTAGTTGCATTGTCCCTCTTACGGTCGTGCATGTCCTTGAATGTCCTGACTTCCAGGACGAGCGTATGTCTTGCTTTCCGACCGCCCCTCGCGGTCACCTGTCCCTCGATAGAATTCTTGGTGACTCGGATACTTTTGATATCGTTCGCCTTATGCGTTTTTGTTCTCGTATTGGCATCCTTGGTGATATTTAGCGCCCTCTGATTATTTTGCGTCTTTGATGGTGCTACATAGCCTTCCCGGTTTGGTGCCTTCTTTTGATAATTACTTACTTACTTCATCTCGGTGACAGTATGACGTTTCCTGGCATTCTTTCCGATATTTTCTCTCTCTTCATAGGTTATCTTCTATTTTGGATTGGCTTGTCTTGTCCTTTCTGTCTTGGCTTTTTCAGGACAATCATTTGATGTCTAATACTGTCGCCTCGTGTCATGTGGCACTGGCGGAGCCACTGCAGCTTACGTTCGGGGTGGATGTCTCCTCTGCCTCGTTCCGTACGCTTTCTTGTTCTTTGTTTCACCTCCGGCTTGCTCATGTGTCGCCTGAGCCGTCCTAGTCCTTGGACAGGGTACTTTTCCTATCTTTCCTCTCCTCAGTTTGTGGTGGCCCCTTCAGTTCAAGATTGTTTTTCCAAGGCTCTGTTTTTGTTGGCATTGGCCCTTGGGGGTCGGGTCGGGAGCTCCCTGCTCTCCTCCGGCGCAGGGGTTTCTGCTCTTTTAGTCCTGGTGGTAAGTTTATTCGTTTGCAGCCTTCTCCTCCTTTTCTGGTGAAGAACGAGAGCTGCTTTCCGGAGGGGGTTCTTGGGTCATTGATGCTTGGTTGGTCAGACTGGGGTGGATCATGTGTTGTGTCCGGTTGCGGCTTTCTGCCGTTATCTGAAGAAAGTCACATCATCATTTTGACTTAAATCTCTGCAGTGTAGGTATTCAATACCAGTGGCTAAGGTAACTAACAAATGAATGCTGATATAACATATGGTATCAGTACTAGGCTTTGCTCCCACAAAGGGTGTATGTATTGCCTTATATTTTAATGAAGTTTGGCATGATGATTCATCATTATAATTTTTCTTTAATTTTATTAAATTTCTCATTAATTACAGGCAATTCAGAAGCCCAAATCAGGCCATGGTGAAACACGGCTTGGTCAGTGGGGTGAGTGGTCTGGACCAGAAGAAAATAAATACAGTAGAATGCTGTACAATAATGGTCAAGCGTGCTGGAATGGGCCCACCAGATCGGCAGATGTGAGTTAATTGCATGTAGTGTACATACAAGAATATAATTAGACTGTTTCAAGTGGAAACTGCTTCAGTATAAAATCTGCAGTTTGCTTTGTTACTATATAACATGTCTCTTTTGGGCAAAGATAACCGATCATTCTCTTTCCAATAAAGTAAACAGCCATGTAAATAGGACACAGATTGATTTTTTTCTTTCAACAGGAACCTGGGAAGGTATTTTCCATTATATATTATTCCAGTTACAATGCATAGCTGTATAAATTGGATTAATAGGTTTTTTATTATTTGTATTTCAGTGGCTTATATCTGGCTTAGTGTTTGGTACTGTGTGTCTGTTTTCTTAAGTAGTATTTAAATAGTAAATTTTCTTAAATAGTATTCAGGTAGTACAACTGGAACAACTTTTGATATCTTACTCTTACATTCTTGTATTTTCTAATGAAATTGTTTTGATGTATAATTTATAATTACATAATTTATCATATGTGCCGATTATTCAAGGCCTGACTAAGCCAACAGTGAAATTAAAATTTGGCGATATAAAGAGAATAGCAACAAACATTCTTAGTTTATTAGGCCTGTTGTGTGACTTGGAGAAACTTGGAGTGTACAGACTGGTGTCATGCACAGGCAAATTGAAACAAAGGTCACTAAAGCTGGTATATGTAAATGACACCCACGATCTTGATGAAATGGAAAAATAACTCTTGGGAATATAGGATTCATAAAAGTTTGTCTGGAAAATTACATAAATAAAGAACATGAGCATAAAACAATGTAGGGATAAGGCAGGCTAAAAAAAATAAAATTCTGCATACATAAACTTTTCATCATCTGACCTACCATATGTCATATTAATCTCCCTCCCCATGTTTCTTGAGAACCACTGGCATCCACCTTCCACATATCAAGTCTTACTTCATCCATACCTATATCACCCAGTCCAATAACAATTTTTCTTGATACTGATGACTTGCATTGGCAAAGAAGTTCGCAAAAAAATCAGTTACTGATTGTGCTAAACATATAAATAGCCAAGGCTTTGACCTAGTATTGATGATGTCTACATTAAATCTCCTCACACACAAATAGAAGTAAACTATCTCAACCCTCAGTTACAGTAATTCTGTCAAACAATATCAAGATTGTTATTTGCTGCTTAATATTAATTGATGTAGTGGCTGCTTCGTAAGTTTAATGCTGAGCAGAAACTTGACTAATGTGAATTTAGTTTTGTTATACTATTTATGCATTGCAGCTGAACTGTGAATCTAATATCATAATCATTTGAAATGCTGATCTAATACTTGTATATCAAATTTCAGGTTCACATATCATGCGGAACAGAGACAAAACTTATGGGTGTTTCTGAACCAAACAGATGTGAATATTTATTCCTTTTAAGCAGCCCGGCTGTATGTACGAAACCAGAAGATGTGAATGGCGATGAGAATACAGATCACAGTCACATCGAGTTGTAGGGATCCGCGTAATATATTACCAGTATTTTGTACATTTTTTTTTTTAATAATTAAACACGAATTTAGTTTTTTAAAACATAATTTTTTTTAGTTGCAACATCACATTGTGTCTAATTTCTAATTTCAAGGTCCACATTGGCCCTAAACCTTTGTATTATGTATGGTTATCTTTAAGCAGACGATGAGTTCCAATAACGTGGCTGAAGAGTTGATATTCAACCCACACATCTGAAAATGAAGAAACGACGACGATTCAGTCCCTCCTGGACCATTGACGATGGTTCAGGAAGGACCAAAACGTCATCGTTTCTTCATTTTCAGATGTGGTGTTATCTTTAAGTTTCTTTAAACTTGCACTTTTATTTGGTATATTGTCGGTATAAAACAGGAATATTTCTGTTATTCTTTAGTAAATACATGGCTTAGATTATATTACTGGTAAATTGAGATTGATTTATATAAGTCTTGCTAAATAATCTTGAATGTACCACTATATTTGAATATGTTTGGCATAAACATGCTCTTATTACAAGCTATTGTTTATTATAGCTCTTGAAGTTTATTGGCTAAATTTTAACCTAATTAAAATTAACTTAGGCAATATAATAAAAATGTATTAATTGGACTGGACATTTTTTCATCTGTTGTCCATACCTGTTAATTTTTAGGTTGAGGGAACTATTGAAGTTTCATTGATTGTATAAGCTGGTATCTGTGATGATAACATTCCTGTAAAACTTTGTCAATAGCATTTGTCTGAGTTTATTAAGATAAAATCACATGTTTTCATAGTAAATCTAAAAATTCTTGGGTGACTTTTATTTGCTTAGAAACTTGTATACATTCTGAGCAATGGCATTATAACTAGAAGCAAATACTGTTCTTGAGAATGAATGTAACTCATTCTGTAGTTAATATTCTTTTCATATTTATATTTTTTGTTTATTTAGCTAATATAAGTTGAGCAGGAGTGAGCCAGAGAAGGAAAGTAGCTCTCGTAATGAACACTCCTTAGAAAAACAATATTGGACAGAGGCATTTCGAAGGCTGCATTACACAAGTAATTATCAAAATAAGGCACCAAGCTGGGAAGATATTCAAAAGGTGCTAAATGTCAGGGGGTTTCAATATGAGAACAAAAGAACAAGGCGAGCAACATTGAGGGTATTGGATTCGCTAAGAATTCTGTTGAAAGAAATGACCACAAGGCACATTCGGAAAGCAAGACATGTGAACATCCTGAAAATTGAAGACATTCTACAAGGAAATGTAAGAGGGGAAACTGCAGTTCAGATAATAAGGAGCAGGGCAGCATTCCATTAAATGCCTGTTACTGTGACTTAAGCATGTATGGCCAATATGTAACTTAGCCAGAGCAGTATCCTACCACCGATTACCGGGTAGGAGGAAGGCCAGGATGGGGAGGGGGGGCAGGCTACCCTTAAACTATGCCAAATGTTATATGATGTGTGACATTGAAAGGGGTATAATTCAAAACATATATGAATTATGTAAAAATTACTTAAAAAAAAATTATTTTCTTGTTTTTCAAGTTACACTGGTATTATTTAGACAAAGTAGGAGCATTTGCCTAGTAGATTATGCACAAAACATTTCAGAGTTTCTGAAAATTTAAAAAACCAAGTTCAATGTCACACATCATATTACTTTTGCGCAGTTTAAGAGTTAAGAGCATGCAGGTTGTTACCTGTAACACAAGACAAACAACGCTACCAGTGGTCTTGGATCGATGAATGAATAGTTAAAAATAAGTAATAAGGAATGCCTTTTTTGGGAAATGGGACAAGTGCAGATCGCATTTAGTGCATTAGCGGCTGTGTCTGTACACCCATTTAAGGCAATACCATTATGGCTGGGAACCCAGCAAAATGCAACTCTCTCTCAAATCTGCTAGAAATATGAAATGGCTAATGTTGGATTTTGACTACCACAGGATGCATTGGATTAAATGACTCCAGAGCCATGAGAGCACTGCGAGTCAATCATAATGGTGAAGGAATATTGATGTTTGGAAAAACGGTTGCTGACAAGCATTCAAAATCACATACTATTTAGCCATGAAAATGTTAGCCTCAAGGGGCAGGCATCACATGTAGGTTTGATCTGGAAAGACCAGAGAGTTGCTGACACCGTCAGCAAACTCAGAACCAACGGTGAATAGAACAATGGAATGTGAGTGCGAGGACAAATGTTCAAGGAAAAGGCATTTCATGATAATTGGAGGGGTAGAAGCCTGTACTATATGGGTCAACATCTTGCAAAACCTCGCAAGTGGGACCCTCCATGGGGGGCAAGGATGGAATAACATGAGGGAGACATTGCTAATACAATCCGAGTTAGAAGCTGGTAAGTGAGACATCCGAACAGAAAAAGGAAGGAGGTAAAAGGGAACAGCCCACCTGAGGGGGCTGCAGCCAAATCCTGGCAAAAGCAAGAATGAGGATGTTGCAGAGACCATGCGAGGTAGCAAAGGCAGTAATGATTCTGACAACCTTCGAGTGACACGACATCCGTTTCAACATGTAAGCTCTGGATAGGAGCAAACGACAGGTTCTAGAGTTGAAGCACAACCTAGCATGGTGCAGAGCTTGAAGACGGTGATGGATCGAGTGGGAGAGAGAGAGAGAGAGAAAAGTAGGCAAGTTAGCCGTAATCTAGTTTAGACAGCATGAGAGGAATGCATCTATCAGCACCCCAGAAAGTATGGGATGACTCGAAGTAATTTATATGGGCCTTAGAGTATGCAACTCTGAGGTATGAGATATGGGGTGATCAAGACAAATGAGTGTCAAAGATAAACCCAAAAAGTTTGCAGAATCTTTATTCAGAAGGGGACTGTCATAGAACAATAATGGGAGATGAAGAATGACCTGTTTCAGAGTGAAAGTCATAGCACAGGCTGCTGAAGATATCCTTTTTATGTGGGCTTCAGGAGACAGGGCTTGTATGATATTAACTCGTAGATCCTTCTCTGTCCATTTCAGGAGGACTTCATCTCCCATTGTTTGACATGATCCCTTCACTTGGCTTCATTACCTTGCATTTATCGGAGTTAAACTAGTAACTATTTGTTGAACTATGACTAATTTGTCCAGGTCATCTTATAGCCTCTTGCTATCTTCCTGTCTCAATCCTCGTAATTTTCATCACAGCAGCTTTAGCTGAAATCCTGGATGGAAGTGGTGGTTGTGTTGTTCCTTGGTGTACATGTGCAGATAGAGCAAAGATGCATGGAGGAGAGAGCATGTGACATCATCTGGAGAAGAGGCTGCGGGTGCAAGACCCAGCCATAAGTACCCGCCAGAGGCGCTGTGGATAACTCCACCTCTTTAAGACTGCAGGTGGTCGTTTCCTTTTCCAATATATAAAAGCTCATACCTTGTTGCCAAACTACATATGTTTCTGAGATGAACAGGGAGGAATATTCCAACACTGCTTCCTAGCATGGGTGGTAGTTCCTCCCCTCCGAGACATCTATATAAGGCAGTCTCGAGTCATACTTCCCTTTACGACCAAAGGTCACATTCATACCAAAAATCTACCACTTACGGGCTATTCATGCCTGTGCCACTTTTTGGGTGGTTTAATCTTCATCACTCAATCATACTCCCCCTTATTTTCCCTTACTTGGCTCTCTTCTCTGCACAAGTTGCCCTTCCTGTGCTCTGTCAGCCCACTAGGCCTGTGCGCCATTAGCTCCTGATGGAGGAGGTTGGTCTATACCCCAATCCTTGTGCCTCCACATGTGTCAACCTCCAGCTAATTCGGTTTCCAACATGTTTCACAATGCAATCTGTTCCACTATGTTTTGTACATTTAGTACTACGCTTAACTTACTCAAATGCACACCCCTTTTAATTACGATATCCAGCATTGCCTGTTATCTCCATGGATTACTGTTCCATTATTTTATGTCTTGTAGTATCACAATTGTATGCCTTTCATTTTCAACACATTAAATTCAATTTAGAGGCTCCTTTATAGCCTCTTTACTTTGTGTTCATTACAGGTAAGGGAGGAGGAGGTCGACTGCATACACTTAAACATCTTCAGGTCAAGTGAGGTAACTAAATTTTATCCCAGTGTGTTTAACAAAAATTTGCTCTTTGCTCTTCTGAAAATGCTGTGTCTTTCGACATGCCAATATGCAACTGAAAACTCCACACCCCAGAAGGATTCGAACCCAGATAGCCAGGAGCACTATGCACCTTGGTGTACCTGGTACCTTAACCACTATCTTATCTTGAGGTAATCTTGAGATGATTTTGGGGCTTTGAGACCACACTGACTGTACAAAAGTCTTAGTAGTCATGAGACTATTTATCCAAGATCTGACAGTGCTCGGTGGTCAACTTGGGTATAGATATTTCATCGAATCACCTCACTTGGTGGGGCCATGTGAGCAAAACAAATGCGAACAAGCTTGAATGGGTCCCAAGCCAATATGCAACTGAACTCAGTTGTATATTGGCTTCTCCTTCAATATGCTTCTCCTGTTTCCTCCTGTAAGTGACACAGAACTCAGTTTTTTCTTGGCAATATCATTGTAATGGGGAGCTCTGGCTATCTTGATTGCAAGCTTAACCTTCACTTACTCAATTCTGCCTTTAACACTGGGGAGGGACAACGCCTCTCGTAGATTAGACATTTTAGCAGTTCTTGGAACTCCAAGAATGATTGTCATGGCTTCACTTTGTATGCTTTTGAACCTTTTCATATCGCTTTGGGAGTAGGTGCATAAAACTGGTGCGGCATATCTTGAGATGATTTCAGGGCTTAGCGTCCCCGCGGCCCGGTCATCGACCAGGCCTCCTTTTTGTTACACACACCCCGAGAAGCAGTCCGTAGCAGCTGTCTAACTCTCAGGTACCTATTTACTGCTAGGTAACAGGGGCATCAGGGTGAAAGAAACATTTTGCCCATTTGTCTCCGCCTCCATCCGGGATCGAACCCGGAACCTCAGGACTACGAATACGAAGCACTGTCCACCCAGCTGTCAGGCGCCCAGATAGTCAACTCCGGAGTCGACGGCATAGTCTATGATGGAGTGCACATAGGCTGTGTACATCATTTTAAGCACTGCAATAGAGGCTCCATGTCCATTCCAGGTCATAGCTTTCAGTGCCCTGAGTCAACTTTTTCATGTTCCTGAGTTGGTTGAGTTTCTCTTTCTTCCCCTTGTTAGAACCGATAATGATGCCAAAGTACCGATAGTGGCAAACCCATTCAAGTGTTACACCGTTAATTTGCAGTTCTTCATTTTCTCCCGCTTGTGATGAGAGTATGCTTTTGTCTTGTATCTGGAGAGAGTGAAACCGAGCTCAAAACATTTCCTTTCAAGGAGTTCAATGGACTGTTTAATTTTTCCCAAGGTGGGAGCTCTCTTGACGGCGCCTGCGACTGGTGGGTGCTTCACTCTGGGCCTCATGTTGCACCAGTGTCACAATCCCCTGGGAAAGTGCCTGGGGGACCAGAGGATCATCAGGGCTATCTGTTGGAGCAGTACCCCCTGATCGATGAGTGTGTCGACGACGCCGGTGTTGGCTTCTTTGGGGAGAGGCAGGAGGGTGACGAGTGCCAGGCTCCGGCCGAGACAGCTTCCATGTCTGTATCCGTGGATGAGTTTCCGTCCATGTCAAGGCTACCCAGGAGGGAAAATCGATTAGCAACCTGGGCGTATGAGGCATGTGACTGGAACGCCCAAATCAGGCCAAAACTACCCAAATCGTATTAGCATTACGTAAGTAATGAAGAAATATGGTATATTTCGTACTTACTATAATGTTG